CACATTTTGCTTCTTCAAGCCTCTTTCTCCATTGATCTCACTTTTATCCCATTTCTCTATTAAAATTTCAAACCTACGTTGCCGGTTTCTTCATGATCTCATAATTACGGAAAGGTATGCAACACACAGTTCGATAAGATTTTTGTGTTCTGTCTTCACTCGTTAAGCTAGTTTTTAGAAAGATTATCATGCGGGTTTTGCTCCAAATCAAAAAGAGTGTTGTGTTTGATTTTAATATGCTTAGATCTATATATATATATATATATATATATATATATCTACTGATTTGAATCTGCTCTGATATGTTTTTCATGTGTATAGGTTTGTGAGGAAAGAAGAATGGCTAATAGAGTAGATCATGAGTACGATTATTTATTCAAGATCGTGTTGATAGGGGATTCGGGAGTTGGAAAATCCAATATTCTATCGAGGTTTACGAGGAATGAATTTTGTCTGGAGTCTAAATCCACCATTGGAGTCGAGTTTGCCACCAGAACTCTTCAGGTCTGAATTTCTTTCTTTTCTTGTTTAAATTTATTTTCAACCGATAAAACTCTGATCTGATTTAGTGATTATGTTACTGTATCATCTAATTTCTGCTTCATGTTTTGTTAAATGTGCTCGTAATCTTGTTTTTCTAGTTTAAAGTGTAAGATCTCATTTGAAAATATGTCAAATTTGGTACATGAACTATTTGATAGATTGCGTAGGGGTCTTATGAGCTATTTTAAAGGAAGTTTGATAGTATTACTGAGGGGTATTTCAACTGTTTGATTTACAGTCGAACATTTCCATTTAAATTGTTGTGCTTTAAATGAGTACGTGCTCTCGTTGCGGTTAGCTTTTTGTTTAAATGTTTAGTTCGTTCTATTACCTTGTGATTTGCTAACAAGAAACTGTCTTCTTGCAAACACAATAATAAATGGTGAATTTGGTGCTGTTTTATTTGTTTGATTAGTATTTAAGCCTTTAATATAAAACCATAAGGGTGGTGCTTGATTGGTTTGAGCTTGGCTTCAAAGGTCAAAAGTACCGGGAGGTCCCAAGTTCAAATCCAATGAGGAATAAAAATCCCCTTATGACCATGGAGGTTCAAATGCGGTGACTTCAGGCTATCTGCAAAGCAAGTGGTCGTCCTAAGATTAGTCAGCTCACATAGCGGGTTGGATATCCAAGTTAATAAAAAAAAGGCTTTAATATAAATTATATGTGAATGCATATTGTTGTAATTTATTTTACGTAAATGAGTGTCCATTATCTCTATATACAACGTACTAACCAGATATGCATCGTCTGATAGAAAATTATGGGACACTTGTCGTGGCTTAAAATCCATGGTTGTAAGAGAAAATTTAGAGACAAGTGTACAGAAAATGGACTTATAAAGTAGCTAAACTATGTATTACTGCGAAATTTGTCGAAAAATGAGTCCATCTTATGTTTGGCAAACTAATCATGTTTGGTAAAACTAGCCAATAAGTTAAGATGACAATGTAAAATGATCTAAAATAACATGTTAAAAAGTCAATTGAAAAAGTTAAGGGCATAATAACAAAGAAAAAAAAAACCCCTTGGTGCTTATTGAAACATGGCTTGGAGTAGCTTTTTAAATAGCTTAGTTTATAGTTAACCAAACGCAGCTTTTTCTATCTTATAGTTTCCAACGATTGCCTAACTGGGATTTCGTTAATAACTTGAAAACAGGTAGATGGAAAGACCGTAAAGGCTCAAATTTGGGACACAGCCGGACAAGAGAGGTACAGAGCGATAACCAGTGCATACTATAGAGGTGCGGTTGGGGCCCTTCTCGTATATGATATAACCAAAAGGCAAACCTTCGACAATATCCAAAGGTGGTTGCGTGAGCTGAGAGACCACGCAGACTCCAATATTGTCATCATGATGGTTGGAAACAAGTCTGACTTGGACCATCTAAGGGATGTGGCTGATCAAGATGGCCAATCTCTGGCTGAAAAAGAAGGGCTTTCATTTCTTGAAACATCAGCACTTGAAGCACATAACGTTGAGAAAGCATTTCAAACCCTTTTGACAAATATATATCTTATAATTAGCAAGAAAGCATTGGCAGCCCAAGAAGCATCTGGTGCCAGTGCTTTACCTGGCCAAGGAACCACCATTAGTGTCGGTGATTCATCTGGGAACACAAAGAAAGGCTGTTGTTCAACTTGAGTTGAAGTATCTCTAGGAGTAACGATCTTAAAGGGCATCTATTTCATCATTCTTTTCTTCTTCTTCTTTTGTGATAAAAAGTACCTATCTTTGACCTTGTAGAATACCATCTTACTTGAGAAGAAACGTTGTGAATATTGAAACATGGGGTAGTAGCTTTTATAAATACACAATTATGGTTGTATTATGTCATATTGAAACATGGTGTAGTAGTTTTATAATGGATTTAAAATTGGAGGTAAAATACAGAGTTAAAGATAAAGTACCAGTGCAAACAATACAAGTTGTTAATGAACTCTTGTGTAGGTGCACAGCTTCACCTTTTTGTTTCTTCGGTTTTCTTGAATCCAGTATAGTTGAACAAGTCCTTGACATCAGCATCGACAACTTTTTGTCAAAAACTGTAAACCTCGTCTCCTAGTTTCTTCCTCTGCATTGAAAATACGTACGACACACCACCCACCTAAGACCAAAAACACACGAAATGAGATTGAACTGAAGAGAAACATCATTATACATAATACACACCACCACCTCCTCCATGAAGAACAATGTTAACCTCAAGGATCTAAAAAATAATGTATGATCATTACAGATTGAGAACCTATCGGTTGATTTATTGTGTGTATTCCTTTTTCCTCTACTATTACATTCAAATCGACTGCTCTAACAACAAAAGTGACTTTAAGTGGTCAACCAACTTGACAGTTCTTCTTGAACATCTTCCAGCTACGCCAAGGTGTTCTTTAAAGATGAAACAACATCCGCATATGGAATCATTGTCTACAGGCTCTACATTCACTACATTTTTGTATGCCAAGGTCAAAATATGGAGCTTCTATTTTATTTATGTGACAAAAAAAAAAATAGATGTAATGAAACAAAGAAATACCATAAGGACCGAAAAGAACCTTTTGGTAACATAAGGGTGAAAAATGTAATATTTGTAAACCTTGAGGGGGTCTTTTATAAGTATTATACGCCCAAAAAACAAGTGGGAAACATATAACCCACCATCAATTTTTTGGGGAAATCAAAACCCTAGATTTCAAATTTCTCCTTTCGGTTGATAAAATCAGAAAGATAAAAATACCAGCACTAAAGCTTGATTGGGAAGTGAGGGCACAAATTTGAAACCTCACAAGCGCTACGAATTTATCGTTCTTGACGAATTTTGATCATAGAGGTTGGCATCTCCACCCCATAGGAGTTGCAGCCCTATTCTCCTCCCTCCTCCGTCAGCTCGCCATTTTTTTATGTATAATTAAAGTTGTATTGATATTTTTTCGTATCGCTACTTGTTCATGCGCATATATCAGATGTATGATTAAAATAACGAGGAACAAAACAATGTACTAACAAAAAGTAGTTGAGAATCGCCGAAGAAATTTGGATTTCTTCTGGTTTATTTCTTTGTGCTTTACGATCTATTGTTTCTGGGTATTTTGAGAACCCAGTTTTAGGGAAATTTCGAGGAGCTAGAGATATTAAGAGATCAATGGCTCAAAATGGTCAGGGCATAGACCCTGCCGTACTGGATGATATAATCAATCGGCTATTGGAGTTCCGGCAAGCAAGGACCTTGCGGCAGGTTCAGCTTTCGGAGGCGGAGATACGTCAACTTTGTGCCGCTTCTCGGGAAATTTTTCTTCAACAGCCTAATCTTCTAGAGCTTGAAGCTCCCATTAAGATCTGCGGTAAAAACTAGAATCTGTTTTTTATTTTTGATGTATTGATATCCTGTTGTTATGTTGCGATTTGATTCTTATCGTTTTACGTATATGTTGTTTGTCGTCAGTCTTTTATCTGTTTTTATTGTTCGTGTAGAATTCATATTCTTTGGTGTGCAAGTATAAATGTTTAATTGCTTTATCTTTTGTTTCTGATGAATAAGTGTTTTGGTTTATTGCTATTTCTCCAGTTTGAATTTTATTTGTCTCGAGGCATGCCTTTGCCACTGATTTTTGCTATAATAGCCAGGTGAAGGATTGCCTGCATTTCCTTGTTGCTTTGACATATATTGATTTGCAAATTTCGATGGATGGGTGTGTATCATAGAAATTGCTCGATTTTAGCATGCAAGATTTGATTGGGCGTTTGGACTGCTTTCAGTTGTCCAGATTTCTTGTGGAGAAGTCTTGATCAGGTAGTGGATTTAAATGCATCATTTGCAACTATTCTGGATGTGATAAACTGTATACAAGTTACTTGTTGTTAAGGAGTTGCCTATGATCCTTTGTAGTTGTATATATGCTCAATGATATGCATTGGCCATATAAGGTGATATTAGATATGGATGATGGTGTTTGTGTTGAATCTTATGCAGTAGAGACTATTAACTCCTATCGTAGACTATTTTTAATTTAACTTGAATGTTCAATTATGTTGAAACTTTATAGATCATTGGCTGCTTTGCTGGTTATAACACTAAAGTAGTTTGGTGAAGGTGATTTGTTGGCTTGAACCATTGAGGGTGGCACTAGTAGTTGTAAGATTCTTAACAGCCTTGAGCATGTGAGAAGGCTGATTATTTGAGGATGAGATGGATATCTCAGATATGTGAATCTGTGTATGAATGATAGAAAAATGATCTTAAGGAAGTGTACTCTCGGTATAGGCATTACTAAATAAATAAGGCCGGGACATTTTATTTTCAACCCCACAAACTTTTCACTGTATCTTGTCAGCAAGCCATGTAGATATGTAGTACGGGAAAAGAGCTCATAATGGATGTGTAATTTTTATTTTCTTGCTAAACAAATAGTTAAAGAGTTCCTTTCTGGAACTTTATCATGCAAAGTCTAATGAGGACCACAAAGATCTTAGGTTAGAATGTTGTGGGGTTCCATTCTATGTTTAATTGGGAATTTGGAATAGTTTAGATGTAGCAGTTGTTATTCTTTATCATGGGTATTAATTATGGTCTTTTATTGCTTGTTCTCCAGTTAGTATTGGAGTTCCATTTCATTATGTGTTGTAATCCACCAAATAGCATTGAAGATTGAATTACACGATTACAGTGAGTGATTGGAGTTTTTATCCAAGTATCTCCAAACGTGGGGCAGTCATCCTGAGGGTATTGCTCCAGAGATCTATTGTTTCTGCAGTTGCCTGGTTATTTTTCGTTTTCTTTCTTGTTCTTATTTTCTCATATTCTCCTCTTGCATCTATATCACTCTTGTGGGTGATACAGTTACAGATTTTGTGAGACACAAGTGTGTGCATCAACTGAAGTACTGAGCATTTTGCTGTAGATTATTTAAAATACTTTTGGGAGTTATGCAAAACACATCATTGTTCATTATTTTGGTAGAGACGTGTACTTAGATTAGTTACACATTTCTAATTCCTATTTCTCCCTCCGTGTACACTAGAAAAGCTAGAGCAACTAGTTTGGGCAGTGTTATGACAAAAAAAATTCGGCACCAGGGTTAGATTGGGAATGTTTCTAAAAGAAACTCAGCCCTTTAGCACACCCTAGGTATGGTTTTGGGATTATGTAATGAATTCAGACACCAGTTGAAGACAGAAGACTGTAGTGGTACCTTTATGTACATTTGGTTCATAGTTGAATGGATTTGAGTTCTATCTATTTTTCCTTAACTTTATCTTCCATATATGAGAGCAGACCATTATATAAAACATATGATAGGTCATGCATATTTGCAGTAATTACGTTTCTTGTATTTTTCCCATTCTTGAGGTAGGAAACGTAATCCCTTCTTGCAAGAAATGCATCAAGTTGTGCCGAGTGTGTTTTAATACAAGTGTCTAAATGGTAGAGATTCCCTAAAGGGACGTATTTTTTGTATATCATATCAAAAACTAAGGGGGTGTTTGGTTTAATGAAATGGTTTTGAGGGATTTGGATTTCGTCGAAGGATTTGAAATCTTGTTTGGTCTGTAGGATTTGGAATGGAATTGAATTCCATTATTAATAAAAATTATATAAAAAAAATTTAAATTACCCTTTGATAAATTGATTATTACAAAACAAATGTTTTTAACATATTTAAAACCATCTTAACATACAAATTCTATGAAATCCCATGAAATACCAACCAACCCCATGGGATTTCAAAATCCTATGTTGGGGATTTCAATGAAATCCTTCAAACCAAACATGGGATTGGAATGGAATTCAATTCCAAATCTCTCAAAGTCCAATCCACCGCAAACCAAACGGGACCTAAGAGTGTTATATGGATTTGTAGAAAATAAATCTAGGTAAGTTTGTCGTATAAAGTTTGAAATTTTTACAAATATGGAAATATTTCACCTGTGTGAATGTGATATCCAAACATATTAATGCCATATTTGTCAGGAGGACCAAGGGAGAAACAATTTTTTTATTTCTTTATAAATGATGTCTATATCTATTCTATCTGAGCATCTTTTCGTAAGTCTGTTATAACAGGTTCTAATGTCTCGAGAGTATTTTAAAATTGATGATTTTACGGGTATGGATGCGATGTGTTCTTATTAATATAGTGGCATCACCATTTTGTTAAATAACAATGTTATTATATTAAGGAATCTCACGACATGGTGATGTATTTGTTCCTATAGTAAGGAATTTCCATACGGAAGAATACCTCTTTCTGTCTGATGTTTGCTTCATCTTCTCTTGGATGTACACTATCATTTATTGGAATCCTGGTTTGTGAGTATTAACTTCTGCGATTGTGGAATATATACTTCCATTTTCCCTAAAACATTGTGGTTTGCATTATACGAGATAAGAGATGTATTTTATGAAAGAACATCAAAATCCTTTTTATTTCTCTATTTCTTCTCATTTTTATGGTCCTCTCTATGAGGTGCCTTGCCGAAACTTGTTTCTCTATTGACAGCGGACCATTGAGGGTGTTTATTTTTATCATGGAACGTTTATTTGAGTGTGATTCTTAGTTTAAATGGCATGCTAGTTATTTCAGGAAAAAGAGAGCTAGAAAAATAGTCTTAGTAGACCACCACTGACGACACTGCAATGATGACAATAATGCATTTATCGATTAGGAATATGCTAAATGATCATTTGTTACTGTTGATATCAATCCTTATACGGTTGCAATTTTGGAAATGAGTGATTTTGAAATTTTTGGGAAGGAAGACTTGTTTATTAACAGATTTTACTAAAAACTAAACCTGTGTTTGTTCTGTAACCCAGTATTAGCTTAAATGATAATTCTCGTTGTTACTGGATTATGTATGCGATTCGATTGAGTGGACATTGCTAATCAATGAAGTTTTTTTTCAAACACAATTGATCCTTTTATGTGTGTTACTGAAGTGAGCCACGGGACCATTTGCTAATTTGAAGCCAATAGATTTTTGCTTTCTTTCTTTAATACCCTGAACGCCTGCAATGTGAACTGGATCAATTACTAAACTGGTTAAGCAAGTTCCAGATTTACTATGATGGAAGATGAACACTAAATTTTTTACTTCTATTTCTTTGTATACCAGGGGACATTCATGGACAATATGGTGATCTATTAAGGTTGTTTGAATACGGTGGGTTCCCTCCAGATGCAAATTATTTGTTCCTAGGGGACTATGTGGATCGTGGGAAGCAGAGTTTGGAGACTATATGCCTTTTGCTTGCTTACAAAATCAAATATCCCGAGAACTTTTTCCTTTTGAGAGGAAACCATGAATGCGCTTCCATCAACAGGATCTACGGATTCTACGATGAATGTAAACGCCGATTCAACGTTAGACTTTGGAAAACTTTTACTGATTGTTTCAATTGTCTTCCTGTGGCTGCTCTTATAGATGACAAAATACTATGCATGCATGGGGGTCTTTCTCCTGATCTAACAAACCTAGATCAGATAAGGAACTTACCTCGTCCCACTGATGTTCCAGACGCTGGTTTGCTTTGTGATTTACTTTGGTCAGATCCTAATAGAGAACTTAAAGGTTGGGGAATGAACGATAGGGGAGTCTCCTATACTTTTGGTGCCGATAAAGTGGCAGAGTTTTTATTGCAGCATGATATGGATCTTGTTTGTCGTGCCCATCAGGTTCTGGCGTTATGTTTTGCTTTTCTATTGATCTCATTTTGGGAGTCGTATGTGATACTAATGTTTTTTTGCGCAGGTTGTAGAAGATGGGTATGAATTCTTTGCTGATAGAAAGCTTGTTACCATATTCTCTGCCCCAAATTATTGTGGTGAATTTGATAATGCTGGTGCGATGATGAGTGTTGACGAGAGCTTAATGTGTTCTTTCCAAATCTTGAAGCCAGCTGATAGAAAACCTAGATTTTTATGACCTGGTGACTTGAGTATATCGGTGTTGCTGACCCATGAGACTTTTAAGGTTAGTAACGAGTTCATCTTCTCTGTAACCCTGGTTGGGAGGTTTAAAATCCAATGTTTTTTTGGTTTTGCTCCTTGGCAGAAGTTCAATCCTGAATTACCACTCTTGGTTGTTAGTAACTGTTGCTATTCTCAGTTATAATGATTTTTGTACACAACATTCCCCTTATTTTTGTCGTTTATTGAGGGTCTTTTTAGATACGGGACGAATAGCCAAACATTTCTGTCAACTATGTGCCACAGTGCCAAGCCAAGCATTGCATTTACTTTGGGACGAAAAGAGTGTTGATTATACTTTGATATTGCTGTCCTGACCTTAACATTTCATTTGTTCGTATACGTATGAATCATTGAAATGTCATAATTGCCCTTCTCTCGAACTCGTTTCTTTTGGTGCCTTTTGAAGGTCAAACTTTGCAGAGACTGCAAAGATATTGTTGTCTCATGAAACCAAACATCTCCAAATCTAAAACCTTGTATCAGTCGTCTTTACAAATTTGCGGATTTGAACCTGCTTTTACAGAGTAGCAAGGAGCTTGTTTTCTATTAAAATCGTCACTGTAACTTTTGTTTGATTGTTTGCAGGATGATGGAGAAAGAGTGTTGATTGCATTTGCTGCTGTTCTAGTTTTAAGGTAAGGATTGTTTCAGAAAACAAAATGCTGCTACTTGTTCTGTTTTTTTTCTCCTTAAATATATTTATGAGACGCTATTCGTATTGATCGAGTCTTGTTTTCTAATCCCTAGCGATTTATGATGACATTGTAAATACATTTGGCTTCGTAAATCGCTGTATTAGATTCTTGTTACCTGCCATTCTCGTAATCGATCCTTCCTTTCTTTTACATTACGCAAGCATATATAATATTTATACAGTGCAAAACTTACGCACACTTGTAGAGATAAGATTTGAGCCGTTGACCTTCTAGGATCTATCAGTTATCTGGATAATCCCGGACCCTTTGGTAATTATACGAAAGTCATATTTACCGGTTATAAGTGCCGCTTTTAACCGGATTTTTTTTAAAGTTTATTAATATTTAAATGAACCTCATTCGTTTTTAATGAATTACTGTAGTTTGCCAAACATGAGAAATCGGATTTTTAGAACATAAATTACTCTTTGATTTTTACTTTTGAGTGTTCTGATACATAACACACACACATATATATATATATATGTATATATATATATATGTATATGTGTGTGTATATATATATAGAGAGAGAGATTTGGGATCATGTGAGACCAAGGGTTTTTCGTGAGACCCGAAAGATCAATTCTCAATCTTTGGATTATATCTACAATCTAAACATTCATAATCACAAAATTGCCACGAGACTTCTCAATAATCACAAAATTGTCACCGTGCAACTTTAGACCATTAGATCATTAATTTATAAAGTTGATCAATGAACATAAATTGGTCTTACGAGTCTTACGAAAAACCTTTGGTCTTATGTAAATCCAACTCTCTATATATGTGTATATGTATGTATATGTGTATATATATATATATATATATATATATATGTGTGTGTGTGTGTGTGTGTGTGTGTGTGTGAACAACAAAGTCAAACAATGATTTATACTCGAGAGGGACAAAAATAAGACATGCATTAAAATCAAGATGCATCTTACTTTGTCAATACCATATAAACTGTATTATAAATCGACAGAGACATAATTAGATATACATTAAAATCGAGATATATTGCGTTGCATTACATGAGTACACTTCTAGTAAGTTATAACGGAGAGGACATTGGTTCTTAGAGCATCTCCAACAGCTAATTTAAAATAGAGTTGATCAACTTTTTGTTCTCTATAACACATCAACAACATCCAAATCTTATTCTCAAAAATTGAGAATCATGGAAAAAACTCTCAATATAAAGGATCCTCTAAAACTATAAAGAAAGGAGTTTTTTTTATTCATTCCACCAATTAAGTTGAATTAATATTATTTTATATATTTTTTCTAAGAAAGTGCATTGAAATCGTAAAATTATAGAATATTTAAATAATATAATTAATGATCAAATCTCTAAAACAAATGGGCATTTTAGGTATTTTAGAAATCTTATCTCTCCTCTCTCTTATCCCCTGTGAAATGAACATTCTAACGTGATGTCCACTGTATATATGTTGTGATACATTAATTATGATCATTCTCTCTATATACCCAATGTATACACGTGATATCTTGAGATACACGATAAGATACCGATTGTACATACGATGTGACATCCACTGTATAAACCGAGTTCCTAAGCATGGAGAAACATCTTCATCAATGTTATGAACCTTTATGTATGATCACATGTATACAACATCTCTCTAGTATTCATATCAATATGTATTAATCATAAATATTAGTTTTCACCATACTATTCATTATGAATATACTACAATTTTAGCTAGAGGAGGATCCTGAATTTCTTTTAAGTTGTTGCACCAATTAACTAGCATAATATAAAATAAAAATTAATTAAAAAGTATGGTTTTATCATCCACACATACAATTAACGTTAAAAATATGACAGGCCTGGAGGGTCGGTATTGACTGAGAGGGTGAATCATTATGCATGACATAATAGTCAAACTTGCCTGATGGTTCACCTAGGAGTCAGACAACAGGATCTCATGCTTCATATCTGTTGATCATCTCTCTCAGTGATTTGATGATAATCCATTTTCCCTTTCACGTTGTATTTGTGTTTCTGTATTTTCAGTTCCAACGATCTTCACTGAGTATGTTCAGTGATCGCTGAAAAATTTGCATTGTAAATCTATCCGAGACAACAATACTTCAAGAAGACAACACTCACACCAAAGAACCTTCAGCAAACGTCGAAGACTGAAACTGAAGATTAGAGACCAGCGAGTACGTGATCTGAAGCGGTATTCAGTGATTACAAACCTGTCTACATATGTGTGAAGACTGCTCAAGCTTCAGCGAATGATGATGAGACCTTCAGGTCATTCCAGCATTCAGCGATCAAATGAAGCTTGCTTAGCACGATTGTTGTTGTCTTGTCCTTATGCACACAAAGGACAAAACCCATACCCTTACAAAAGTTAGTACGGTATGGAGCCGACTAGTCGACTCTTTGTCCACCAACTTTAGGTAAGGATGTCTGCTCAGAAATAGTGCTTTTGTACTATTCACTGTAGCAAAGGACAAGCCTTCCTCTTAAGGCTTGACACGCATTCTAAACATACCATATTGCATTAAATGGACATTTAATGCACTGGGTATAAATAGAAGTGTTTCTTCTCCATGTAGAGAGCGCGCATCTCTCTCTAACCTAATTCTTACTTCAAACATCTTATAGCTTAAGTAAATGATCTTTCTTTTAGCAATTTCTTTTCTTGTAATTGCTAAAGCATTGTGTGTAACCAAAGATTGTTTAGATAGGTTTTTATTACCTTATCTTTACTCAAACAATCTTGTAAAATCTGTATTGATCTTCTCTATCAATATATATTTTAAATTTAAAAATATTGTGTTTGTATTCATCCCCTCCTTCTACAAATTGTTTCTCTTCTTGTAGACCTTTACGGGACCAACAATATCTTCTCTTTAGCTTTTTCTGTGACCCTTTCTGTTGAATGTCTTCGTCATGATCAACTTTGTATTCTTCATCTAAACAATCTTGACAGTTGCATACATCATACCAACAGTGTTGGTCTTGTTGTCCCGGTGTTGGTGATTTTGCTGGTTGAATCATAGCGATGGTGGGGAATATGTCACTCTTTTCTATGGTTGAGAACTTGACTTCGACAAGTCCATTTTTATGTTGAATGAAATCTGGAGTTGTGGTTGTCTGAACGGGAGCTTGGTGGATCAGCTCATAGTTGGTTACCCATTGTCTTGGGAGGTACACCCTATCTGAATTTGAGCTTCGAGTGCCTTGTGTAGTGAAGGATCGTTAAGTGGCACGTTGAAGTTCGGATAGAATGTGACAAAAATGGTTTTGGTGTTCAAAGTTGTTTGTATAGTACCTATGCAAGCATGTTGGTATTCGAATCAATCTCTTTACTTTTATGGAGGAGGAAGTTGGTTTAGAGAAGATATTACAAGGGTTAACTATATGCATACTAGATAAAAGTATTTTCGAATCATTTGAAACATAAGAAATTTCATATAGTTGATCAATATTGGAGGCAGAAGATTGTCTGAAACTTGAGGCAGAACAGGAAAAAGCAGTATCTAGGTTCATGACTAGGTTTGGTATTATTCTGAAAACACAGTTCCCTTTTCAATTTCTTGTTTAAGATTTAACTAGACTTCACTATTTTTCGACTTACAAAGTCTTTCAACAAGAAGATGAAAAAAAGAAAATGTCTAAGGAAAAATACCGAATCACTGGGCTTAGTCTTCAGAATGGTTTTCTGATGTGAGAGATTCGTATAAGAATGGAAGTCACAGAGCATACTAATCCAATTCTTAGTAAGATAAAGGAGGAATGAGTAATGGCTTTGATACCAAAGGGTGATTCCCAAGACTAGAAGACTAGGATTGACTATTATAAAGCATTTGATAAAACATTTTAAAAATAATTTATTATCACACGGAGTATATATATATATATATATATATATATATACACACACACACATACACACTAGAAATGTATTCATATAATGTCGTGAGATACATCTTCATTTTATTGTTTCGTTTTATATTTCGTCTATGTTGATATAATATGATTTATATGGTTTTGAGAAAAATAATATTTTTACTTTTGAATAAAAATAAATTTGAAGATGTCATAAAAATATGAAAAAGTATATCGATATGAATATCAAATTAATTATTTAAAAATTCTCATTGTACAATTTTTTTAATTCAATTTTTTTTATTATACTTTAATTTAGGTCAAAATGAAGTAATTTATTTTAGCTTAACATAACTTTTTTATAAAAATAATGATTCTGTTAGAACTCAATGGTTATCCTAATTATATTTTAGATTTTTTATATTTAAGATGAGAGATTTATCCTGTATTTGATTATATTTATCTACAGTTAGTTATACGAATTCAAAAATGGAGCTTTTATAAGTTGTACTTACGCATAATTTACTTGTAATATTAAATTTTAAGTAACATGCATTAATACTCAGTAATTCATGCATAAAGAAAGATTTTTAAGAATTTTTGTTAAATGCTTTATAATATAGTATAGATATATGCAAATATCTTAAAAGTTCTTTTTTTATTGGAAAATTGTTCTAGACTATGTCTGGATTAATCCTGGCAAACTGCGACTGTAAGAAATCAACCCTGATAAACCCAGTTGTCACAAATACTATGTACGCCTGAAATATCTTAAAGCTCTTGGTTACAAATTATCTCTCTCTCTTTTTTTTTTTTTTTGAATCGTGGAGATTTTATAGAAAACTAGCAAGAAGCTAGAAAAACATATTACATGTAAGAAATAGCAAGAATGTGGTTCTGTAACCAACCCACTCAATTAATGTTAAAACTTACTACTCTTAGGGGCCGTTGGGTTCGTGGAATTCGAAGGAATTTGATGGAATTGGAATGATAAATTCCTTTGACCAAATTCCATTCCTTTGTTTGGTTCATATCTTGAAATTGATGGAATCCTTCAAATTCCAATGAATTCCACAAGTTAAGGAATTCATCATTCTTTAGCATAATGGAAGGAATTGAATTCCATCAACACCCACAACGACCATGCTACTACTGTTTGTGATGCCCCACCCCTAACCCCCCACTACCACCACCACACCACTACTGTCACCGGCACCCACCCTACCCCACTACTAACCACCATGTCATT